ACACTTATTTGGATAAAAATTTGCAAGGTGTGTGAATCAGGAGTAATGGGCTCATGTCCATGGAAAATTCACTGTTGATTTCATTGGAAGTTTGAACAGATGTTTCACTTGTGTTTGAGCAAGCTTCTGAAGGTAATATCCTTTTAACAATAGCATTCTTAGTTTTATGCTTATTTCTAAGGCAAATAAGCAGTGTATAGGTTCTTTGAAAGAAATGGGTGCTGTTTTGTCAGTAATGAAGACCTGGTTGCTATATATTATTAGATCTAAATGATGCTTTCATTCCAAGACAGACATTATAGCATAAACACTATCTAAGCAATCCTGGTAGAAATATGAAATCTGATTATCATGTCTAAAATTCAAAGATACAGGAATTTTAGATGAAGGCATTAAAACACAAACACACTAAGGAATGAACAACATAAAGTGTTAAGTTTTGAATTTATTGCTATGGGAGTTGCAGCATGCATAAAACATTGAAAAGGTTTGCATTTTTGCTGTTCAGCAGATGTTTGAGAAGGATGAAGTATAATTGGCTGGAATATAAAGTTAATTAGTTGCGGAATATTTTGTTGCCCTGGGTCTATTTCTATAACACCAGCACACCTGCAATTTGCTGCTGTACATATGTGAACTCATTTGGGAAGGAGGGCAAGATTTCTTCACATTTCCTTGCCCAGACTACTACCCCATGCCTAACCCTTATAGTCTAAATTGTCCTGGTAGTTTTATCATTGAAAACTAAATAAATCATTGATTAAATATATTGATGGTGGATTCATTTCTATTTTGGACTTTTCAATCTGCTCACTGCACAGTGAAGTACTTTGGCTAGCACTCACTAATTTCCCAGGAGAAGCAGCAATATAGTGTGCTGTGCAAAAGGAAAGCTGTAGAACTATGCCCCCAAACAACATCTTTGTCTCAGAATGAGTATATTTAACATTATTGAGGGAAAGTGCAAATTTGGAAAGAAGGGGAAGGTAATTCAGACTGATTGAACTCAACCCATTCTGCCTAGGTAATACAAAGATCTTGGGAATATATATAACCACATATCTAGTGCACAGCATGTCATGTAATACTGTAACTGGGTGCAATAGATACAGTAAAAAATAGTCATAGAGAAGTAACGCTGGAAGGGACCTCCAGAGGTCATCTAGTCCAGTGGTTTTCTTAAATTGTCTCACTCTGCCACTAAATAGATTGCCTATTTTAATGCACTTTTGTCTTATAACAGCTCCTGATAACACCTCTTCTCTACTAGTTAACAGCTCTCCTCCATCATTCCAAGCAGACTGTTGGCATTTACATAGAGTCTTCTCTCTGCTCAGCCTGTCTGCATCTTTCTTATCCCTGAGGAAGAGCACATGATGCCCAAAAGCATGTCCAAGAGCTCTCTCAGTAAAAAAACAGTATGCAAAAATCCTTGCTTCTAGTATATTTCCTGGACCAGTACTGCTACAACACCCTGACCCTTCCTGCTTTTTATGATTCAGTCTCTAAGGTTTAGATGACAGCATGTTATAGCTTTTTTTGACAAAGTAACTACATGGGTGGATGAAGAGAATGCTGTGGATATAGTGTATCCGGACTTGAACAAGTCTTTTGAAAAGGACCCGCATGACCTTCTCAAATTGGAGAAATGCAGGCTAGACAAAATGACCATTAGATGGATAGAGAACTGGTTTAATAGCTACAAGCAAAGGTAATTATATAAATAGATCCACATCAGAATGGCAGGAGGTTTTGAGTGGAGTTCCACAGAGTCTGCCCTGGGTCCAGTGTTATTCGATATGTTGACTAATTATTTGTATAACTTGCCCAAAGTTATATAGCCTGTGGAAGAGCAGAGAATTGATCCCTGGTCTCCCAAGTTCAAACAGAGTGCCACAATTATATTATTTCTCCTTTGCAGCCTCACCCACAAGAAAAGTTTTAGATGAGGAAATTTTTGCAAGTCTGCATGGTTTGCTCCCTTTTTCAAAAGCTTACTAGCCCATTCCTTCATTTTGAAAACTCAGGCTGCATGGTTCTTGTTGTTTTTCCGAATGAGAGCACACTTTGACAGGAAACTTGGAAGCAGCAGTTCTTGGATACTGTCTGCTCCCATCGGGATTCGATTAGATTAAATCTGAATTGGTTCTCTCCATCTGGCAGTCTCTGCCTGACTGTTCCTTCTGAAACAAAAAAGTCAGCATCTCAGCACTGCCAAAGCCACCATGTTTCTTCAGCTAAGCTAGGCCTTTTATTATCTAGGTGGACCTCTCTTTTCCACATGAGAACTCTGACTTCCCCTCTTCTCTATGCCTCCACAGTAAGAAGAGTGCAAAAAGCAGCATATACA